ATCTGGTGAGATCGACAAACGAATCTCTTCTTCATGTACTTTCATTCGAAATGAAGGTCTCCCTAACAATAAAATTACCTGATCTCACCTCTTCCCATCTCATCTTAAAACTTGTCTTGCATTTGATTTGCTTTTCTTCATTCTCTTCTTCTCTATCACTTTTGGTGAATCTAAATTATTCACATTTAAGTATTGTTTCGAGACTACCAGTAAATCAGTAGTACGATATATATTCACCCAATTTCGTTTAAGGTGACGAAGGACTGGTAGAAGAATTTTCCCACAATGATATGAGTAGAGCTGACGTTTCCATTGGATTTCCCATAGCCTTGCTTTCGCAAAAGTTGTTGTCATCCGAACAGAAGTGGACTGCAGTTTCGACTTTGCATCGGTCTTATCAACACCTCCAGCGGGAGTCAAACGTGACAGTGCAGAAGGGGAGCTTCACACGTTAACCACTCGGCCACATTGCCACGAGTGCCCTTGGGTCAGAAGGCAAGTGTAAATTTCAAGGAAGGCCAGGCCTTTTGCCAAAATAAAGTAACGTAGTCAATTGTTATAGCAAATATACGTTTGCTTCATCGACAACCCCACCAAATAATATAGTATGGCAAAAGGCCTGGCCTTCTTGAAATTCACACTTGCCCTCTTACCCAAGGGCACTCATGGCAGTGTAGCCGATTGGTTAGCGTGTCAAGCTCGCATCCTGCATTGTGGCGGTTCGACTCCCGCTGGGGGTGTTGATTAGACCGATGCGAGTTTGAAACTGCAGTCCGCCGTGGATGAGAACAACTTTTTGGAAAGCAATGTCATGTGAAATTCAGTGAAAAACATCAGCTCTGCTCATATAATTGTGGGAAACATCTTCTACCAGTCCTTTATCACCTTAAAATAAATAGAGTTAATACATTTCATATAGACAGTTTCTGACTTGAAATACTCTTGAAAATATGAAGACTAAGATGTTGTGACCTCTGGTATGGTTGTAGTCTCCTTTCAATTTATAGAAGTGGGTTGACCTCTTTGTCGCAACTTGGTCTTGT